TACGTTGCAATGAATGCACTAGTGGTAGTAAATGGAATATTCTGGTTGTCTGTGATTTTCCAGTGAATCCTTCCAGAGCTTAACAATCAGTTCTTTTTGCGAATTTGTCAATTATTTACTTCTTGCCACGATGATGACCTTCTTGCACGAATATCAATTACAGAATATTCTGTTTGTATGTCTAGGCTAAAAATAAGCACTGATAACATTATTAGAAAACTCTAGAATATTCCACTTGAATAATGTAAAGTATTAAAGCAATTTAAATGTTTTAAAATCTGAAATTTGCATTGTACGAATACTTTTTTCACTCATTAAAATACATAAATGGGATTTATTTCTATTAAATCAATTTTTCTAAGCGTATTTAGTTATTATTCATCTGTTTATAGTCAATTATATGAAAGACATGTTTATTCAGTAGTTGGAAATAAAATAAATGAAAAATTGTATGTGTACGAATATCTGTTTGTCCCCACCCCCTTACACACACACACTATATATCAGGCCGGTAAATTTAAATAATACTGTTTATTTAAAAAAAAAAGCAGAGTATTTCCATAAATAAATTGTATCTATTAAAATAACGTATAAGCAGAAAATATATTAAATAATTGTCGGACTTAGTCCATTTCATTATATATATATATATATATATATATATATATATATATATATGAAAATTTCTCAGAGTTAACCTGTAAAAAAAGACAATATTTATAAATATAAATGACAATGGGAAAACTGTAATAGTTGCCGACGCGTTTCGTCCAATGTGGACTTTTTCAGGCCAAAAAATGAAATGAATTTATTTAAACAAAGTAACTAATAATAACAAAAACATAATGTCCTTAGCAACTGGAACGCGAAATCAAAAGAAAATGGTTGAATCCGTCAACACAACAATAAAAACAATATCTCCACACGTGACAGTAATTGACGTAATTTTCAGTTAACAGTATGAAAATAGCGTTCTCTAAATTCTTCCAGGGCTACAGTGGCACAGGGTGAATATTTGGTCTAATCCAGTCGTTCCTAAGAAATCGTATAATAAAGGTCGTGCTGAACGGGCTCGTTGTCAGATACTTTCATACGAACGCGGGTACCCCGAGGCTCTATCCTGGATCCTACGCTCTTTCTGATCTTATCAATGATCTTTCCGAAGTCATCTTTTGAAAAAAATCCGGGTCGCAGATTTATATTTTGATAAGATTCAATAGACATTCTCGAGAATTTTCCGCTAAAAATCAGCACATCGGAGTAATGGATAGCGGCTTGGATTGAGGAATCGAAGAGCCGAGTTCGAATTCCAGTCGAATCCATTACGTTTACTTACGTGCTAATACCCATAGAAAATTTATGAATCCTCTTCTTCCTTCTCCCTAGCTATGGGTAAATAACAGGACAGACCGGGTTCTATAGACTTGGATGGCAACTGGCCTACCGTAGAAAGAAATGGCAACCTGCTACGGGAAAAATCTGCCTCGTCAGTCATGCATCGAAAGATACATGATCGCCTAAGCGTGTATCATCCATGGCACATAAGTGGCTTAGCAGGCACGGTGGAGTTCGAATGGCAGTCAAATCCATTACATTCACTTACATGCTAATACCATTGGGAAAGGTATGAATCTTCCTCATCTCCCTCCAGTTATGGGTAAATAGCAGGGCAGACCTGGTTCTATAGACTTGGATGGCAACTGGCCTATCGCAGAAAGAAATAGCAACCTGCTACGGGAAAAATCTGCCTCGTCAGTCACGTATCGAAAGATATATGATCGCCTAAGCGTGTATCACGCATGGCACATTACTGACTGACTGACATCATTTAGATTAAAGTTGTGAATGTATTTATTTTTCTGTATGACAAATTCTTTTGATAAACTGTTAGGTATAAGATCCTTTTTGTGTTCATAGATACATTTTTTGTAAGCTTCCCCAATGTACTGTGATTAACAGTTAAGGCTGTTTATTTTATATATACCTGCTTCGGAATTATTATGAGCATTTTAGGTTCTGATCATATTCATAGTAATCACGGATGTAGTTGTAATCATTTTGATATTGTTAATATTAGATAAATTGTTTTGCATAGTAAATTTTAAGGAGTTAGTAGGCAGGATTTTATGTTTGTTCTTATCGAGATCATTGCCATTGTTATTGTTGTTAATAATGTTTTTATCTATTTTGCGATTATATATTGATATAATGGAATATGCGTACACCTGTGTTCCCCCTCACTGAAATGTGATTGGCTGGTGTCCGTCATAAATACCGACGGACGTGTAGGAGAGTCAAAAGCCTTAGTCTGAGAGCTAAGTCTATAACAATGCCCATTGGACTACGTCATTGATCTACACTTCTTACCTGCGACTACGACGCGTACCAGTCGATTACTGCTATCGTATTCTACTTGGTTATAGTAGCCAAAACCACTTAGCTACTTCGTTCAAATAAATCCCTTTCCGGGACATATCATATATTTTGTATGTCTTTCTTTTAGCATTAAGGATGAAATAATGGGGATATTGGTGGCTTTTTGAAAATGTTTTCTATATTTATTTCTTCTTCTTCAGGTAAGTATTATAGGCTCCGGACAAGACTGTAATTACTGCCCAGACAAGTCAAGTTGAATGGAACGAAACAATGAATCTCTAAAGGAAACAAATATAAGGAATATGGAGAATATCTCGCAGGTGGATGAAATTCCACTTCTAAAATAAAAAAAATAAAAAAAAAAAAACAATTTTTATTCAAGGAATTGTATAATGTTTTGAAATTACTGTAATTACCGCCCATGCAAATATTCTTGCATGAAGTAAAAGAAAAGTGTTAGTCTGAAGGTAACAGATCAGGAAAACATGTTAGATTTGGAACTGTTTTTATTTGAGGAATTTTATTTCTTTGTAATTACTGCCTAGACAGGACGTTTTTCGTGGAAAGTGATGATATCAATGCCATTGATATGCACGAAGCACTTGTTACACTCTCGCTAAAAATTCAGTTTATACTAAATATAACAGATATACACTGTAATTAAATCCCAGCAAAATATCTAAATATGTCTGATGGTTACAGATGGGTAGAATGTGCTGCATTTAGAAGAATTTGTTATCTCCCAAAACATCCTGTTTTATTTAAGAAATTCTATGACATTTCGAAATTACTGTAATTACTGCCCAGGCAAGGAGTGTTACATAAAATGAAACAAGTGTTAGTCTGAAGGTCACAGGTCTGACGAATATGCTGCATGTAGATCGTGTTTTTAAAAATTCCAGCTTTGATTCATAAAATTTTATTATGTCTTGAGATTGTTGGAAATACTGCCCAGACAAAGAGTGTGGCATAGATTGAATAAAGTGAAAATCTGAAGGTTACAGATCTGGGGAGTATGTCGTATGTGGAAGAATTTCTCACGAAAGCTTCTTGAAAATTTGCTACGTGAGAGGGAGTATTTTCTTGTAACAAAATTAGTGGACAATAACTTTTCTGATGTATATTCTATGTCAGTGTTTGATTCGAACGAGTCACTTGCTCAACGAGAACTTATTTTCCATGTAAGATTTGTCTAGGGTAAAGATTTCCAACGTAGGCCGCATGTTCCCACTAGTGAGGCATGGTAATATTTTGGTGGGGCATGCGTAGTTTGTACAACCTTCTGCTTACTATACCAACGTGAGCTCAAATTTCATTTCAGATTATTATTTCATGAGTAAAATGATCAAAATTTATTACAGAATAATCTTTCATTCAAATATTTTATATTTCTGCCTTTCACTTCTCTATTATATGTTTTGAAACTATATATATATTTAAATATCTTCTTGTTTGTTTTTTTAAATCTTCTCTTTCATAGACGCCATTGTCTTTGGAGGCTTGTTTAGAGACCAAGTTAATTTTCAGCTCTCTATTACATGTTTTGAAACTATATATATTTAACTATCTTTT